ATCAGTTTTATTTTTTTCAACGTTTTTTCACGTAAACGATACATAATTTTTATAAAAATTAAAAAAATAAGGAGAAAAGTAATAAAAATGTAATAAAATCACGCACTGTCTTCCAAGCTCGGTCTACTCTACCGTTATATAAAAATTAGGATAAGCATGGAAGGATTCTACCATATCTTCTAAGAATTATAAGTTTAATTTTTCAATTATTTTCATATTCATTAAGTCCATAATTTTGCTACTTCAGTTCTTTAAAAAGGCAAAAAATTTTAAAATTTTCATTAAAAATTTATTCGTTTTTAGACTTGTATGTTTTGCGTCTAGACCGACGATATTATAAATATATGGTTATGAATAGGTAGATATAATATTTTTTAAATTTAATTGATTATTTCTAAATCTGTTTGGGTAATATTCATTTTATAAGAAAGGACATTAACTACACATGTGTTTCAGAATTTACAACCAGAGATCTTATTCCTATCATGGTTCAGCTTAATATCGAGGATTGCAGTAAAAACATCATGATTGCCTCTGCTTTTTTTCCGGGTGACGGGGAGGCACCGCCTCCGGAGGTACGGGAGCTCGTGCGATTCTGCAGCCAACGGCGACTACCTCTGCTAATGGGATGCGACTCCAATACACACAATGAGGTATGGGGAAGCACTAACACTAACACTAGAGGTGAGTGTTTACTTGAATTCCTCTTAGCATGCAATCTTGAAGTTCTCAATGTAGGGAACAGGAGCTAGAACCTTCGTGACAAAAACGCGGGCAGAAGTATTAGACTTAACAATCGGGAGTGCTAGTGTAATCAGTTAAGTGAAACACTGGAGGGTCTCAACGGAACCCTCCCTATCAGATCACAGAATCATCGAGTTCAAATTAGGAGGAATCACACTCCAAACAGAAACTCGAAGGAATCCAAGAAAAACAGACTGGGACATATATAACACCAATCTCGTAGACAACCTAAACCGTATAGATGCAAGTAGGGCCAGAAACCATCTGCATCTAGAATGGTACGAAAGGGAAGTCAGCGGTGCAATATTGGATGCATACGAATCTAGTTGCCCCGCAAGTAAAGGCATACAAAAAAGTAACAACAAGCCCTGGTGGAACAAGAAGTTGGCCAATCTTAGATCGGAGGTCCGCCGACTCTTTAATAGAGCTAAATCCAGTGCCGAATGGCAGCTCTACAGCGAGAAATTAACTGAGTATAATGAGATAAGAAGAGCAAAGCGGTCTGACTTTAGATCCTTTTGCGAAAACATCACTTCTACTCCTGATGCAGCTAGATTACATAAAGCTATGGCCAAGAGTGGATCTATCCTCAACATGGCACTTAAGAAATCTGACGGAAGCTACACGGAGGGAGAGGAAGAGAGAGCAAATCTCCTACTTTATATACACTTTCCAGGTAGCATACCTATTGATACTCATGTAGCTCCCACTGAACCCCACAATCCTTGCAGGGAAGATTGGGAAGTGGCCAAGCTAGTAATAACAGAACAAAAACTGAAATGGGCGATCGACACCTTTCAGCCCTATAAAGCAGCAGGAGTAGATGGGACCTTTCCTGCCCTTCTAAAGGAAGGTCAGCAAATAGCTACTCACCATCTACTAAGCATTACAAGAAGCAGTCTAGCGATGGGATATATACCAACCACATGGAGAAGAGCAAAAGTAATCTTCATACCCAAAATAGACAAAACTGACTGGACAAATCCCAAGTCATTTAGGCCTATTAGTCTCACATCGTTCATACTAAAAACGCTGGAGAAAGTAGTTGACAACCATATTGGAGAAAATCATCTAAAGGTTAAACCACTGCATGATAGTCAGCATGCATATAGAACGGGCAGATCCACAGAAACTGCTCTGTACCAATTAACGGAGCTAATACAGACAAGTCTGGATAGCAAAGAAACAGCAATTTGTGCCTTCTTGGATATTGCGGGGGCGTTTGACAATATACCACATAAGGTGGTCAGGCGATCTCTAGAAACAAGAGGGGTGAACAGAACTATTATTCGCTGGTTTTGGGAAATGCTGTAACACGAACAGCAGAGGCTCAGATGGGCACCAAAACTGTAGCTGTTAAAACAACGCAAGGAACTCCACAAGGTGGAGTAACCTCCCCTTTGCTGTGGAGCTTGGTAGTGGATGAACTACTAGACGAATTAACTCTAGCGGGAATACACTGCATTGGGTATGCAGATGACATAGTCATCATCGCTCGGGGGAAAAGGCACCCTGTGTAATATTATCCAAAGACGACTCCGTATCACTGAGAGATGGTGTAGGACTGTCGTGCTGAGTATCAACTCAGACAAAACCGCGATAGTGCCATTCACCAGAAAGCGAAGTCTGAAAAACTTGAAAAGAATTCAACTAGATGGAAAGGTAATACTGCCAACACAGGAAGTTAAATATCTGGGAATAACCCTGGACAGTAAACTCCTGTGGAACAGGCATATTAAGAACACTACCAGCAAAGCCATAAAGGCTCTCATGATATGCAGAAGACTGGCCGGAAATAGATGGGGCTGCTCCCCTAACACTTTGCGCTGGATGTATACCATGATAGTAAGACCCATGATTACTTATGGAGCAGTTGCCTGGTTCACAAAACTAGAGCAACGGACGGCAAGGCTAAACTTGTGCAAAGTCCAGAGACTAGCATGCGTTTGTATCACAGGAGCCATGAAAACCTGTCCAACAGCAGCAATGGAGGTCATTCTAGATCTAACACCACTGCACATTGTCATTGGTAGAGATGCCCATGCGACAATGATTAGAATGGTCACTAACGGAATTAGAACTGGGAGAATTGTCAGATCAGGGGCTTGGAACACCCTCAAAAAGGAAATACCACTCCTGAAACTCCCAGTGGACGATATGCCAGAACGTACAACTTTGACAAACATGTCAATGTAGTATTGAGCAATAAGAAGGATTGGAAGAGCGAAACGCTTGCCCAGCAGTTAAAAGACCATACCATAACTTGGTATACTGATGCTTCCAAAACCAATACGGGAACAGGGATCGGAGTGTTTGCGCCGAGAGCTAATTACTCCGAACCAATGGGCACTTACCCTAGTATCCTACAGGCAGAAATCTACGCTATCGAGAGATGCGTACAACTTATCTTAGATAGGAACTATCGGAAACAAGAAATAGCCATCTTATCGATAGTCAAGCAGCGTTAAAGGCGATCAACTCAGTATCAATCAATTCGAAATTGGTCAAAGAATGCATAGAGAAGCTGAATAAATTAGGCAAAGAAAACAAAGTCCTCCTACACTGGGTGCCTGCTCACCAAGGGATAGAAGGCAATGAAAAAGCAAATAATCTAGCTAGGAAAGCAGCGAACACTCCACTAACTGAACCAGAACCGTTCTGCTTTCCAAGTGGTAACCAACTCAAGGCGGAACTCAAGAACTTGGAAGATTCCATCCGCAACCTGGAATGGAAATTTTCCAATGGTCTAAGACACTCGAAGAAGTTTCTGAGGGCTTATGATGAAGAAAAATCACAGATCTTCCTGGGTCTGAGTAAGAACAATCTTCGGATTGTCACGGGGTTTTTAACAGGACACTGTCTCCTCAACGAACACCTCAGTAGATTGAAACTAAGAAGAAACGGCGAATGCAGATTCTGTGGGGAAGATGGGGAAACACCAGTACACCTCATCACTGAGTGCGCCGAGATGACAACCATTCGTGCCATGAATTTTGGTACGACTGATATTGGAGATGGAGAACTACCCTCTATAAAACCGTCCCAGATACTGGCTTTTGTCAAAGCCCTGGGACTGTATGATGAGGTATGATTCAAGAAAGGGGGACACAATGGATCTGTAAGGTCGAAGTGATTAACCCCCCTCCCACTCATTCTAAATTCTAAAATTCTAAATATTCATTTCCATTTTCAAAATTTCAAACAATAAAGGTTGCTATCTCCAGAAGTTTTTTATTTACGATTTTTTTATTTCTTATTTCTGCAAGACGAATATCTGCTATCTCCCTATTGAGTCTGAAAAAAATGACGTAACACGAAATATTGAGTTTTATTGCTCCCCAGCAAATAAAATTCTTATCTCTTTATCATATTAACGCATCAAAATACTTCCTATTGTACATGTGTACATATTTTTTTCTACTTTTTTTTTGCTCTCCTATAAAATTGGGAATAATGGAGTTGGCAGTTTATCACGTTTCACCGACGATATATTTTATCGGTTGTATAATACAATATAATAATAATAACGTACTTATATTTAATTGGGGTTATTTGTTCAGGATAAAGAAAGCAATTTCGATCGAATTATTCTATTCACAAATACCCTATCAGCCGGTTTAATCTAACTGTGATTTAATTAATTCCACTGTATTAACGTATCGATAGATTAACGTTTAATATCTACCTACCTAAAATCAGGCTGAATGGAACTATCAGAGATAGGTAATTTTATTGGTAAAAAAGCATACCTAAATCTGTAGATACCATAGTGACTCTGTCACTGCTACATGTAAACTAAAACAAAAAGATCTTCGCAACATACGACCGCGACGTGACGGCTTGCCGGTTTCCTGCGGCAAAGTGGGCGACCAAGCTCTCCGTCGCCTGCAGGCGACGAGCAGCTACGGTCCGTGCTGTGCCGGACAAGTGGGCGACAAGCTTAACGCCGAATACCGTTCGAAACGTATTTCTTTGTTACCCAGCCAAACGGTGCGATTTATCATTTATTAGTCATCATGTTTACATTACTTACAATTATAAAGCGGCCTATACACTACATCTCTTCCTTATTTTATAAAAATTATTTATTTAAATATTAATTGTAGTAATTTAACAAAATACATTAGTTATTATACTATTATACAAAAATATTTATTTTCTTAAACTATTCATACTTAGTACCTAATTCAACAATTTAAATATATATTTCTAATAAACAACAATTTATATTTATAGCTATTTAGCTTAATGCTTATTCAATTTTCGCCACTTTCTGAATTATCAAGTACCTTCCATTCTCCTTCTACTTTTTTTAAATGAACCTTCCTCCTTATTTGTTTCCCCGTTTCATCATTTTGGAGACTTAAATCAGTGCCATTTTTTTCTATTACCGTATGGGGTATTGGGTTAAAATTTGACGTGAGTTTGTTTTCTTTTACAGTATTTTTTATGTATACTTTATCTCCACCCTCGATATTACTTTCTTTAGCTTTTCTAAGTATACTTCTCTCTGAATTTTGTATTGTAGGAATTTTATCCCTGAACTGCCTTCCGAAAAATAGTTCTGCCGGTGGTTTTCCAGTTGTTGAGTGGGGAGTAGCGTTATACATCATCAAGTATTCCAATAGATCTTGTTTCCAGTCAGTCTTTAAAGTTTTACTTATCTTTAATCGTTTAAGGATGTCACGATTTTGTCGTTCCACTTCTCCGTTTTGTTGGGGCCAATAAGGTATAGTATGAAATAATCTAATTCCAGATTTTTTACAAAATTCAATCATTTCTATGCATTGAAATTGTTCTCCATTATCTGCTGTAATTGACTGTGGAAATCCTAGGCGGGAAAATATTTCTTGTAAAACTTTTATTGTAGTAGTGGCCGTTATGGGAGTCATGATCTTGATTTCTTTATAGCGACTAAAATAATCTATTATTACCAGAAGGTAATGGTTACTAGGTAATGGACCTAAAAAATCCAATGCGACATCTACCCATGCTTCTGTAGGTAGTTCGCGTCTTTTCATAGGGTTAGGAGCATTCGGAGCCGAAACTAAGGTGCAACCTTTGCAAGTTTTAACAATCTTTTCCGCGTCTCCGTCTATTTTAGGCCACCATACCTTAGTTCGCAGTCGATTTTTAATTGCTACTATGCCGGGGTGGCCTTCGTGAGCTGCTTGAAGGACTGATTGTCTGAGCTTTGTGGGAATAACAATTTTATTTCCCCTCAGCAGATTCCCGTTATGAAAGCATAATTCTGACTGAAAGGGTTGAAAGCTTTTAATTTCGTCGTCTAACTGTTCCATGTAGAGCCACTTCCGAACTTTGGTAATTTCATTATCTGATTCTGAAAAAGATTTAATATCAGATAACGGTATCGCCACTGGCGTGGAATATTCTATTAACTGGTTGATGTGTTATTCTTCATCAAAAGTATTATTTGATATTGCGTTTACGCACAACCGTGACAGCGGGTCTGCTATATTAGTTTTTCCAGGACGGTACTTTACTTGGAATGAGTAGGATTGAAGACGAAGGACCCACCTCTCGATACGCGCACATGGTTTAGATTTTTCTCCAAAAATTGTCTCCAAAGGTTTGTGATCTGTCACTAATTCAAAGGATTTACCATAAAGGTATATATGGAAGTGCTCAACTGCCCAAACCAGAGCTAAAGCCTCTTTCTCGGTTTGGCAATACCTCTTCTAACATTCCGATAGACTTTTGTTTCCGTAGGCTATGACCCTAGGTCCTTCTGAATCATATTGCAGTAACACAGCGCCTAACCCTACCGGGCTCGCGTCTGCTATTACCTGTGTGCGATCGTAGGGGTCGTAATATCCTAGGGTTCTAATAGTAGACAGGCTCTCTTTTAATGATTTAAAAGCTCTATCTTGAGGTCTTTGCCAATATTTGCTAATGTCAGCATTTTTACCCAATTTAAGTCGAAGAACTTGTCTTAATGGTTCCGTCAGAGTGGCTAGGTTAGCGATTCATTTACCTAAATAATTAACTAATCCCAAAAAGCTTTGCAATTCATGAATTGTATTAGGAGAACGGAAGTCATTAATAACAGATATGTATTTGTCCAAAGGCTTGATACCTTTTGGCGATAACTCGTGTCCCAGAAATTCAATTATTGAAATATTGTAAACACATTTTTTATTAGGTATTTAAGAGAACATTATGTGCTTTTAACACGTTTAAGGTAGTTTGTAAATTAACGTTGTGTTCTTTTTCACTCTTTCCAAAAATTAAAATATCATCAATAAAATTTACAGTGCATTCACATTTTGAAAGAATCCGTTCTAAAATTTTTTGAAACATTTCTGGGGCACAAGAAATTCCAAAATTTAATCGTTTGTATCTAAAAAGGCCTTTGCTTGAAACAAATGTAGTAATATATCTAGATTTCTCGCTAATCTCAATTTGGTGGAATGCATCTTTCATATCTAGCCTAGAAAATATTTTTGCTTTTCTAAATTGAGGTATTAACTGATCCATTGTTGGTAAAGGATGGTTTTCTCTTATTATTGCCTTATTTGCCCTTCGCATATCAATGCAAATTCGAACTTCACCATTTGGCTTTAAAACTGGTACCATTGGTGACACCCATTTTGAAGCATCATTAACTGGATCAATAATTTCCGACTGAAGCAAATCTTCAATTGCTTTATTAACTTTATCTTCCAGAGGGATTGGAATTCTACGATATGGTTGTATAACCGGTTTTATGGTGTCATGAATGGGAATGTTTACTAAGACGTTTTTAAACTTTGGAAAGGCAGATATGGCATTAATAAGCGATTGACTTTCTACCCCAATTTTTAAAACTCCTAATAACTTGGCAGTATCTTTGCCCAACAAATTTTTTGAGCCATTTTTAACTACATAAAAAGTAGCAGATATTATATTATTAACACATACATCTGCTTCAAAGCTACCCACAACATCTAAGGGTTTATTGCTTGCCTACAATAATTAATTTTTGTTTAATTCCTCATTTATTTATTTCTAAGTTTTCAAAAATAAATAGACAAACAATCTATAGCCATCTTTAGGTATATTTATATATTCCCATTAATTAATTAAATAATTATTTACTTAAATTAAGATGACTGATTATTTTGAAACTAAGTTCTTTTAACTCAATGTGTGATAATTTCCTTGTTTTTTTCTTTTGTTAGACTTGCATTGTAATAAACAATATAATTTTTTGTTTATATAACGTTGCGATAGTTGGCGACAACACCCAATAGTTAGTTTTTTTTTTGCATGAATTATTTTTGTTATCAAAATCAATAAATCTTGATAATTCCGAGGATAATTTCAATTAATTTTTGTGCTACGTATCAAATTCGACTCTAATTTAATATTTTGCTATGTATCTTATTCATAGACTCTAATTTGATATTTTACTATGTGTCCCATTCATAGATTCTAATTTAATATTTTGCTATGTCTCACATTCATAGACTCTAATTTAATGTTTTGCTATGTATCACATTCATAGACTCTAATTTAATATTTTGCTATGTATCACATTCATAGACTCTAATTTAATATTTTGCTATGTATCACATTCATAGACTCTAATTTAATATTTTGCTATGTATCACATTCATAGACTCTAATTTAATGTTTTGCTATGTATCACATTCATAGACTCTAATTTAATAACAATATTTTTTTTACAACAACAAAGCTATTTTACTTTTTCCTACCTTGTAATACTCGTCGCCAATTATGTAGTGTATCTTATTCTACATAAGTCTTTTATAATTACTTTATTATAATTAAGGAACACTAAATAAAACACCAATATACACACAGCCGATGCTCACCGGTTCTCTGCGTAACGCCGAATACCGTTCGAAACGTATTTCTTTGTTACCCAGCCAAACGGTGCGATTTATCATTTATTAGTCATCATGTTTACATTACTTACAATTATAAAGCGGCCTATACACTACAGTTGTAAAGTTATCATTTTTGCGTAATATTTCTGACACAATTTTGTTTTTCAAAAAATAACAAATTTTCCAAAATTTTTGAAAAACCTCGTATCGTGTTTCTGGGGTCGAATTATACCTATTACTACCCCTAAAAATATTAGCACTTATTTAAAACTCACCCTGTATATATTTTAGTATCTTCTTTCAGTATCTTGATATTATAACAACATTAGATAACTACTAGATGTAAATACTAAATTTACAATAAAGAAACCCGCTCCCCAAAAAAACAGCGGTTGTCAAGATATGAGCAAATTTTTTTTTTATTTTCAAAGTAAAACTCAGTTATTTTGAACTTATTTAAAAACGGTAACGGGAAAATATATTTTTTATCGAGATCTACCAGCCCTGAAAATATTTGCATTTATGACTCACTCTGTTGATGACTGTCTATATAGATTATTAGAGAGTTTTGTATTTCTAGTAGTAGTGATCCAGGGCTCATAGTCTGCGACTCTGAAATTATATCAAAAGCCTTTATTTTTCGTTTCACATATTTGTTGTCATAGAGTTATCACCTTCATTAATAGTTATTTTTTTATACAAGACGATAATGCAATTTTATCGTCGTGTATAACACAATATTTTTTTTCCATAGCGAGTTACGTTTTAAAAAATATTCAGAAATTATTATTTCAAAGAATTTATTACGAGTAGAGAAAATATTGTGCTAGGTTGGCGTATATTATCTATGTTCCAGGGCCATATGCAATATATTATATTGCATTTGACAACATCGCCAGTACGTTTTTTTGATGGCAAGAAATCCTCTTCGCCTATTCTGTTTACATTAAAAAAAAACTCTGCGCACAAAAAATGTATACATACCGACAAAGGAACCGCTTGTTTTTATTATCTAGGAATGTAAATTGTTTTTATTTTATATATGTATATTACTATTTTACATATATAAAATAGTAAATATTAGATATTCTTTTCTTTCTGTATTTTTAAATATTGATTTTCTATTTAAAATTCGTAATAAAAATTTAGTTGAATTTTAATTAAATATATCAAATATCAGCAACGCTGCGAAAACCGTCACCCTTGTTTTTTACGTCTATGCACTATATTAGTGCACTCGCACTCAATCTCGATAATATAACGCCAAGCGACCGCGTCGCTAAAGCGATATACTACCTCGTTTCTCAACTGAAACTAGTTCTTTTACTTAACTGTTCCAAGTCCCCAAGTCCCAAACTGTTCCAAGTCACAAACAGTTCCAAGTCCCTAACTGTTCCAAGCGCTAAACTCTTCCAAGCCGTAAACTGTTTCAAGTCCCAACCTGAACACTGGGACTTGGAACAGTTTGAGACTTGGAACAGTTTAACAGTTTGCGACCTGGAACAATTTAGGGCTTGGAACAGTTTAGCTCTTGGAACAGTTAGGGACTTGGAACTGTTTGAGACTTGGAACAGTTTGCGACCTGGAACAATTTAGGGCTTGGAACAGTTAGGAACTTGGAACTGTTTGAAACAGTTAACTAAAAAGAACTAGTTTCAGTTGATAATCGAGGTCGTATATCGGTTTCGCTCAATGTTTCGCTAGTCTAGCCCAGTCTAGCCGAGGCGACCGTTCAGGTGTTATCTGTTATCGAAATACAGGGGCGAAAAAAACAAGTGTGGCTGTTGCCGTTATGTAAAATATTTAATTAAAATTCAACTAAATTCTTATTATAAATTTTAAATTTATAATATTTTTTTTTAAATATTTTATTTTTTTAATCTAAACAGAAACAGAATAGGTAAGGAACATTTTTTATTATAAAAAAATGCTGGCGATGTTGCGAAATGCTATATAATTATCGCATTATAGTTTTTTTTGAAAAATACAGTGTAAGAACAGTCGGTCATTGTTTTGTATTATAAATTTAGTAGATATTAAAAAAAATTAAACTCTTTCAAGAATTTACTCTTTAAGTATATAACAAAATTATAAATATATATTTATTCATTAGCGTTTATACAAGGTGGGTCTTAAATAAGTGCACATATTTTTAGGGGTTGTATATTTCGATTCTCATGAGTTTTTTTCGAGAAAACAGGTTTTTGAAAAGTTTATATTTTTCGAAAATTTGATAGTTTTTTTTTAATTTTTAGTTAAAAAACATTATATCTTGGTAATATAGCAACATAGATAATAGATTAAATTTAGAGGAAACAGAAAAATTTCCAGTAGTTCTCATTATTTAAGCAAAAAATGTTCTTTTATATAAATTAAAAAAGAGAAATAGCAACCGAATCAGAATGACGCAAGTACGGTATTAATTTTCGTTTTGGAACAGTTTGGAA